TCGGAAACGAAGAGGGCTATGAAAATTTTGTTTACGACATCTTCCGTTTGACAAAAAAGTGAGACAGGTTTGTGCAAACCGCACCCTTCTATCTTCACTAATAACGGAGATACCGTATAATTTCAACCAAAATGGGACACCCTGTACATGCGAGAGGTAGCCGACGCTCTATATAGAGTATGGCACTGTAAGAAGAAGAACTGAAAGATATTTGAAAGAAATCAAGAAATCTGAATCATCAGAAAACTGAAAATATTCGCGATATGACAACCATTCTCAGTGCACAACCTCACTTTCGTCTTTACCTAAATTCGTCAAGGGTGAATGCTTTGCTCTAGTATACAAGCTAAGTAGTTTTAGGATCTAGATTAGTATACACAGGTATTCATTTGATAGCGGCCAATGATACATCTGCCCAAAACATTGTGTAAGTTAAAATAAAGACAATAGTCTGAAATTCCTATAGTTTAGATTCGTTGAAAATAGCAACATTCTGTTTTTAATAAATAAATAATTATGAGAAATCGTTAATGGAAATTATATAAATTCTCAGTTACGCCACTCATCAGTACGTCACTAATTTTGTGATTTTGCAGGCTAATTGCTTTACACGGTATTGGGCGAACAATCACAAATTAAGAGACACGTATATACCGATCTAAATGCGCACGGGCACGCAATCGAATATGTTCGTGGCTAACCAATCCATTATAAGGTATTTTACTTCTATTAAATTTGTAAACAACTTTTGGGCTCGCTGGATCCAAAGCTTTAGACATTTTGCACAAAATTAACAAATTTTCTAATCTAGGTTTCAAATTAACATTTATTATTTATTTTACATATCTTCTTCGTAAGGTGCCGTGTAGATTCCTGCGTAGGCGTTCATCTTTTTCTTCCTCATCAGATGGTTCTATTTATTGCAGCGACCACTACTTGGAGTGCTTGGAAGTCTTGTATGCCGGTCCAATTACGAATATTTCTCAGCCCGGATAACTTCCTAGCCTATTTCCCTTTTACCCCCCTCGATTTTACCCTGGAGAAGTAGACGCTGAAGGTGGTAACGTTCTCCTCGTAGTATGTGTCCCAAATAGTTTCTGAGAATTTCCCAAATTCTTCTGAGAATGTCTTCATTCCTCACACAGTCGACCCAGGACACTCTTAGCATTCGTTGTAGAGTCCACATTTCGAAGGTTTCAATTCTGTTTATTGTTCTACCTTCAGTGTCCATGCTTCCACACCATATAACAAAACGGACCAAACATAGCACTTTACCGTTCTATATCTAAAGCCGAAGTTCAAGTTCCTATCTGTAAGAAACCTTCGAAGTTTTAGAAAAGTTGTTCTTGCTTGCTCGATCCTGCATTTGATCTCCTGATCTGGATCCCACGTTTGGTTAACCATGTATCCCAAGTATTTAAATTGCGTGACCTGCTTGATGACCTCTCCATTTAAGTAAATTCTGGTGTTCGGAATGTTGTTTCTGCTGGCAGCCATAAATTTAGTGTATCTAGTATTAATGTTTAAACCCAGTCTTTGGTTTTCCCTTGTTAACCTTATTTAGAAGGATTTGGAGATCATTTTCATTGTCTGCCAATATCACTGTGTCAACCGCATATCGGATATGGAATGCCATTTATTTTCAGACCAATGGGATTGTCGGGGAGTGGCTCAGTGAATGCTCTTTCCACATTAACTTGTATATGGAAAGCCAAACCAAATAACATTGGAGACAGAATACACCCCTGCTTTACCCCTTTTTTATTTCATAATCTTCTGTTACTCCCACGTTATGTATACGAATTTCAGCTTTTTGGTTCCAGTACAAATTACCTATCAGCCTTATATCTTTTCCATCAAGTCCCAAGTCTCTGAGGTATGATATAAGGAGATTATGTTTATCATTGTCGAATGCCTTTTCATAGTTTATAAAGCACATGAAGACATCTTTTCTCTGATCTTGACAATTCTGCACTAATATTTGAAGACTGAATATGGCTTCACTGGTACCAAAGCCGTTCTTAAATCCAAATTGACTATCTCCACTTACTTACTCACATTTTTTGTAGAGTCTTGTATGCAGCTATTGTACAGTATTGTATGCATACATACATATTTGTCCTAGCTCTCTTAGTTACTGAGATACGGGGTGAATTTTAAATTATTGCATTTTTCTTTTTTTAAATAAAAGGGGAGTTAATTTTCAAATGAAACATGAAGCATTTTTATACTTTTTAATCAATATTTGCGTCTGGAGAATACGTAAATAAAAATTAATTGTAAAACATTTATTTGTAGAATAATTAATAAATAATATTGAATAACTTCTGCTTGTGCCACCAATGAGCATTCGGTTTCATATTGATAATTTATTATAAATTCGTCAGTGTTACGTTAATAAAACTGTATTGATTAAGCGATTACAGGGGCGTTGATAATTTGGAATTGTATATTACTGTGGCATTATTAAGCTGCCAATCTAGTAGAGTTTAGTCATGTTTTTCAATAATAAATAAATGCAGTAGTATTGGATTTTTATCCTGATATTATCCTTGTATATGAATTTTTAAAGTAGCTCAACCTAAGACGTTTATGGATGTAAAGCACCAGATGGCGGGGCGTATTTCTCACAGTCTTTTACTACAGGAAAAATATTTTTTGTTACTCTGAATTTTGAAGCGACCAATAAAAACAGAGAAAATAAAAATCGATAATTTTCGGACTGTGCCAATTGGTTACTAATCGACCAGATACTTTTTGTCTATTAGATATGCTATAAAAGCTGGTAATTATACAATTCGACCATTGCAAATACCCGACAAATTTCGCAAGGCCGACGAGGCCGATGCCTTTCACTGATAAGAAAAAAAATGTTTGTTTAGATAATTTTCGAGATATTTTTTCTTTCTGAATGCACATTTTTAAAGTATTTTATATTCTTTGTCCGCTTCATCTATTATACTAGTCGCACGTATCGAGGTTCTGTTTCTTCTAGTTTTAAAAAATGTTCTTATTTCTTTGTAGTTGTAGTGGTTGTAGTGTAAAATTAGATTAATTTTATTAAGTTTAATTATAATGTTTAGTGTAGAATACCAGAAATAGTTTAGTAGTGTTTTTATAGTTTATTATTTTGCAGTTAAGTAGTAGGTGAAAGGATAATTTGGTTATTTTTTCTTTTTGTTTGTTTAATTAGTAAGTTTGATAATTTTTTCAGTGTAGAAGTGGTTGAAGTAGTGAAGAAGTAGTTGTGTAGTGTTTTTATAAGAGATTATAATTAGTTTATTTTGTAGATGAGTAGTAGGTGAAGGTATTTGGGTATTTTTTCTTTTTGTTTTTCTTCTAATTGTAGTAATTCTATTAAGTATTGTGATAGATACATTATATCTTCCTTCAACTTCGTTGAAAAGTGCGTTATCATATAATTTTGGTTTTTTGGTAGTAGAATATACGAAGAAAAAATCTGATCAAATTTATTTTAAATTAAATTAATCGAGTTTTATTAATCAAATTAATCTAGTCAAATAATAATAATAGTTAGTTTCTAAATACTAAACAGGGTGAGTTTCCTACGATGTTCTCTATGGGTATCTCGGAAACTACTGGAGATAGAGTCGGTTAAATGGGGAAAAAATTGCAGTTTTGTGGGGTCATAAATATGCGCCTTTCGGATTTTTCGGAGAAATTCTAGGCCCCACTAGATATTTCGAAAAAAAAAATTTTGGCTATTTCAAAATTTTGTCTCTAATTCCATTATAATCTACCGTATGATCGAATAAAAACGGCGTCAACGATGGCTATGAAATGAAGATCGCTGTCATTTTATACCTATGTAAAATTATATGGGAAATATCATCGATCGTCATTTCATAGCCATCGTTGAAGCCGTTTTTATTCGATCATACGGTATTTTAGACAAAAACTTTTCAGATAAAAGTTGTAGATAATCACATACCTAATGAGTTTGTGTTTTCTGTTTTTTTCTAAAGCCTGTCATTTTTGACATATGACACAAACATTATGTTTTTTTAAATGGAATCCATAGTTGGCCATGACTTCATAAAAAGCGCCATTTTTTAAGCTTTTCAGCGATATAGGTATAATATGTTTTTTTTTTCGAAAAATTACAAGTTATAGCCAATTCTTTTCTTTCTTGGCTAATTTCCATACCAATAATACCATGCCAATTAGTTGGCATCAAAAATGTAAAAAGTTTCATGTTTTCAAAAAAAATATCATAAAATTCGTAAAGCACTCAATTTAGAATAAAATAATCTAAGAATGAAATGATTCTTTTATAAACCTGCATTAAATCAAATTAAAATAGGTATGTAACTTTTTTAAATATTAATTAACAGCAATTAGCATTATCATAAATTATAAATAATGTACCAACATATCGAAATAATAATTTCTTTGTTAATACGGTTTAGAATTCTTAAAATAACAGGCAAAAATAATCCACAATTTACAATAAAATATAAGTTTCGTTTAAATTTCTTAATCAGCTGATCACTATTAAAGTTCGCAGAAACCCTGGGCTATATTATTACATTACTCTGAGGAAAATAACGAAAATAATCGATATTTTTGACTCCGCCCCGAAAGGTTCACGATTTGTCCTCCAGTTGGCAGCACATTTTGTCTAGTCGGTTGGGCAACTTTAAGAATATATAAACAAGGATATTATATAAAATTAATTTTACAGGAATCCAAGATACGGCAACACAAATTTCAAATTGCCATTACTAACTCACCGGATATTTAACTTAGTCAAAAATAACATACGAGTGAAAAAAAACGGCGTAAAAGTTGGCTTGGAAATGAAGGGTGCTGTAATTTTTTATGTTAAATTATGCGGTAAATGTCATTGATCCTCATTTGCAAGTCATCTTGATGCACTGTTTTTTCTATCACACGGTATATAGGCACTTTAAAATAGATTATATTTATGCAGATGTGAAGATAGCTTTTTGTTGATTAATTTCTTCTTTTTGTTACAGGGACGATGCTTTTCCAATTTATTTGCAAGAAATCGACAAACCGAAGCTCCAGAACATTCTGAATTGACCAATCACAACGGGCACAGCGATTTGAATACGGCTATACGAGTATAAACGAAGTAGGAATTGTCTTAGTTAAATTATTTTAAGAAATGAAAGTGTTAAACAGGTATTTTATAGTAGCAAAGAATATCTTAACCAAACCAAACCAAAACTATAATATTCTTTGATAGTAGCTATATAAGTGCCTACTCTATATAATTGCTGACAGTAGTAAAACAAAGAGTCAATGATAATGTGTCCAGTTTTCTTGCTTGAAACTTGAAAGAGCTCACTAATTATCACGAACCACCATGGTCTTTGTCTATAGCATTCTACAGTATGTCCCCGGATTGTCTTTACAAGAGGAAAAACTTTTTATTACTGACATTTTGAAAAAAATGCATTCTTCATAAAAAAATTTGCTATTTCTAAAAAGGTTAATTTCGTTTATATTTTTCCAAATTTCCATACCGTTTAAGAGAAAATTAAAAAAAAACATGAAGATACAGTTGAATTTTTTCGTCCTAAAAAAGTTTTTTCTAAAAAGTCCCAAAAATCAAAACGCGTTTCTATGGTAATATAATTTCGTTTACATTCTTTGATAGATTTTTATTTCTTTTTTAATTAACATCATATTATTTTTTACTGTTTTAAAATGTTAAAGAAGCACAAAATTTATTTAGTTCAATAGGAGTTCAATGCTATGGGAAGAGTGATAATAGTTACCCAGACAGCACAGTGACATTTTAAAGACATCTACCGGGTTGTTGACCACATACGACACGGAGTATTCCAGAATGTCCCAAATAAGTAAAAAATATTATAGTTGTATTTTTTTTTAATGGAACACCCTGTATATTATTCTATTTTTGGATTCTATGATTGAAATAAAGGTAAAGTTGATTAAGGTTTATCACACTTAAACCTTACCGTTTTTGAAATATTTTCAATTTTGTGAAATTGTAGTAAAAATTTTAAGGCTTCATTTCTCCAAGGGTATCAAAGTTTTTAATACTAAATATTTACTGAAGATTATTTATTGATCAAATATTGTGCTGCAATAATAAAAATTTTACTACCTTATACAGAGTGTCCAAAAATTTATATTAAATAATTACTAGGTTTAGACGGCAATAACTTGTTTAATTTAAATGGAACACCCTATATATTTTACGTGAATCAGATGCGCAATGTAATTGTCTATCAAATTGTATTATACCATTTTTTACCCATCTCTTCAAGTTTTCGTAGAAAATGCATTTTCTTGTAATTTATACCTCATTTATCACTATACCTATGGAATATTGATATTTTAGCTTATTTTTAAAGATGTAACAAATTTTCAAAGGGTACAGATACTAATATTGTCGGTATAGTTCGCTTATTTAATTAAAAAATAAAATAAAAACTGTTTAATTATTTTTTGTTAAAGAGGACCAATTATATTATTGTATATTAATTATATTAATATGATCCCAGTATTTAAACTACATTAATTAACTGTTTACGTTGATTAATAATAAATGCTCCAAATACTAAAAAACGGAATTTTGTGTGTGTATTAGACAGTGTGGTAGAAAGTAACACCTTCTAAATTTTATTTAATTTTTTAACGGATGCTTTATTTATAAAAACAGAGACGTTCATTTTCATAAGTTATTATTATATTGATTTCTGAGCCAAATCCACATTTATTTAGAATACTTTATCAATTAAAACAATTTAAAAGTATGTAATTAACTAATTTTTGGTGTTTTTGGTCGGAAATTAGGTGGTATATTTAATTGGTATACTCTTTTACAAATATTTAAATAGTTTTTTTTTGTATACCAATGGGCTTGCAATATTTACCACCTGTACATTTTGTACATATATGGTACTATAAAAAATCTGAAATGTCAATATTCCATAGGTATAGTGATAAATGAGGTCTAAATTATAAGAAAATGCATTTTCTACGAAAACTTGAAGAGATGGGTAAAAATGGTATAATACAATTTGATAGACAATTACATTGTGCATCTGATTCACGTAAAATATATAGGGTGTTCCATTTAAATTAATCAAGTTATTGCCGTTTAAAGCTAGTAATTATTTAATATAACTTTTTGGACACTCTGTATAAGGTAGTAAAATTTTTATTATTGCAGCACAAAATCTGATCAATAGATAATCTTCAGTAAATATTTAGTGTTAAAAACTTTGATACCCTTGGAGAAATGAAGCCTTAAAATTTTTACTGCAATTTCACAAAATTGAAAATATTTGAAAAACGGTAAGGTTTAAGTGTGATAAACCTTAATCAAATTTACCTTTATTTCAATCTTAGAATTCAAAAATAGAATAATATACGGGGTGTTTCATTTAAAAAAATACAACTAAACAATATTTTTTACTTATTTGGGACACTCTGTATCTTGTAAAAATATTTTTAAATTGTAGCTCTAATAGTCCTTCAACGAACACAAAACTTACAATTTGTAAAAATCTAATTATTCAGCTACAATACTCCGTGTCGTATGTGGTGAACAACCCTGTATAAGACAACTTGTTTCAACATTACTGACATCTCAAAGACGTCTATTTTCGCCTTTAGACGTATTAAAGGCATCTTACCAACGTCCGATGTTAAAAAACCCGACATCTTTAAGACGTCTTGAGTACAATGTATTTATGATATATTTTAACAATGTACTTAAGATGTATTTTAATATGAATGAATATGGGAGACAATGGTGAATTATAAAATAAAACATCTTCTTGGACTGGCATTGTCTTTAATTTTTAAATTAAGCATGTTTCTCTCAGATGTTACACTGACCAATATGAAGTGTATTGAACAGTTAATATTTTATAATAGTGATATATCTGACCGAAACGTTATGTATTGATACTTTCTTCTTGGACAACCACTGGAGGGACATCTTCAGATGTGTTATCATGCGTATCTAAAATATGAATCATAGAAATAAGATAATTGTTCAAATATATCTAACAATCTAAATGTTTTAAACTTACCTGGCTTACCTACAATATCAGCTTTATCTTTTTTGATCAGCTTTAATGATGAAACTTTGGTAAATTCTCTGATGAAACTTTATATCACGTCCCTTTGCCAAACGGTTTTGCGCGCCTTTTTACAACTTCCAACAACGACAAGAACAAACATTTTCCGCGAGGTTTTCCAGAGATTTTAAGGAGATTTTCGATCACATCAACATCAACCACAGAAGATAACTGTCACGCCTGTCAATCGTCATATTTGCGCCTATCAATTAAATCAGGATAATGTTTTTATTTCTATTAAGATTATATCATATTTCGGTCATATTATACCAGATTATACTCTCCTTTTTTTATGATTATCGCCTACTCTAGAAAAAAAACGAGATAAATAGAAAAAATTAATTTAAAATTTCTAATCATTTCTAATGCCGTCGAGACGTCCTAAAGATGTTTTATTTCGTCATCTTATGAATATCTTTAAAATTATGTCCAAAAGTTGTCTTATTTTAGTCTTTAGGCGTTAAGATCTAATTAAGATATAAAAAAGACGTCTTTAAGATATTATGTGCTGTCTGGGTATCAGAAAATTTGATACTTTAACAACATCAAAAAATAATGACATGACGTTATTATTGAATTAATGATAGCCATCTATTTAAAGAATGAAATCTAAATTATATTACCATAAGAACGACTTTTGATTTTTAGGACTTCTAAAAATTCAACCATAATTTCATGTTTTTTTTTTATTTTCTCTAAAACGGTATGGAAATTTGAAAAAGTATAAACGGGATTAACCATTTTAGAACAAGCAAAAATTTTTATGAAGAATGCATTTTCTCTAAAAGGTTTTCCTCTTGTTTTCATACTGTGTTTTTATTGCTAAATCCGACATCAAAGGGAAGTTGTCTAAGTAATGTAATAACGATAGAGATTGTAAATTAATAAAATTACGCCCAGTTGTTTATTTAAATGACATTATTAAGAGATTACCTCACTGTTTATCACTTGTCATATTTAATAAACAGATAAGGTATTGTCTCTTTGTTTGTCAATGTCAATGTGCTTAGAGTTTTATATGCACGATTTACAACTAACTCTAAAAAGCCCTGTTTACACTTTTATTCAGATAAATATCTAGGTGAACTGCCAATATTGATTTGTGGATGTATAATTTTTAAACCTAGGTCATAAATACTTTTGTAGATAAAGCTATAACTCTCCAATTCATAATCTAATAGTATATTACTTAATAAGTGATGTAAAAGGAAGGCTTTTTTTAGTGTATTCTCCGCCGGTGCTGCCATCATCGGAGAATGCCATAAACAGTAAACAGCCTACTAAACAAATATGCGGCTTTAAATAGCGAGTATACGAAAAATTTGTTAGAATATTCATTGAAACGTATTAGTAAATGCAAGTGCAATTTGTGAAAATTCGAAAGAAAAAATAAAAATGTAAACCTTTTGATATCATCAGAATATCTAACGTGTATTATAATTTATTATTCAAGCTAATAAAACTTTTTAGAGTAGTAATAACACACTGGCTGCTTTAACTACGGTAGCGATCATAGTTTTATGCACCGGTTTTGCTAGTTGGACTATAACTAGGGGCTATCTGGACTGTAAAGTGATTATTTAAAGGTACATCGGTTAAGATTTTAGAAGACGTTCATAAAACATTTTAGAACTAGTTTCTTCTTCTTTACGTGCCGTCTCTTTCGTGGAGGTTGGTGATCACATTGGCAAAATCTTCACGATTCTGGGCTTTCCTTATGAGTTCTTCAAAAGTTAGGTGAGTCCTGTTTCTGATGTTTCTCAACCAAGATAGTTTCTTTCTGTCGAGACCTCTCTTTCTTACCCTTAACTATCAATTGTTAAGACGTGGCATTTTTCATTTCTCAATATATGCCCTAAGTATGATGTTTTTCTTATTTTTATTATATTGAGCAATTTTCTTCCTCTGCCTATTCTGTTGTAGACTTCGGTATTTGTGATATGGGCTGTCCATGGAATTTTAAGCATTCTTCGACATATCCATGTTTCGAACGATTCGAGGCGATTCATCTCTTGAACTTTCAGTATCCATGTTTCTGCTCCGTATAATAGGATTGACCAAACATAACAGTTAACGAGCCTAGTTCTCAACTCAAGGTCCAATCTGGGGTTCTAGAGGAGGTTCTTCATTTTTAAAAATGCATTTCTCGCTTGTTCTATTCTGGTTTTTGTTTCCACGTCGTTGTTCAAGATGTTAACTATCCAGGACCCCAAATATTTGAACTTGTAGACCTGTTCTAAGGTATTGCCCTCTATTTTAACTATTTATACTCTATTTTAACTAAAAGTAATTTATTAAAATGAAATATACCATTA